TTCGTCGAGTTTAGATAGATGGGCGAAGGAGCTTCACGAAGAGGGAGAGAGATGTTAATCCAGCGACAAACATTTGCTGAGCTCCAGCCACCTGACAGGCCTGAGTGAGGTGCTGGGGACACCGAGATTAATGAGACAGGGCTGCCACCTCCAAAAAGCAGTTTAAACAGAGAGGACATGACCCCGGCCGTCAATGTAAGCAGTTGTATAAACACATAAACACAAGTGATAAGTGTGGCTGCAGAGGGACAGAGTCCGAGGGGTGACGCTCCCTCCGGAGGGCAAACACGGTGACCACCTAAGTCAGCGGGAAACGCTCTGGGCTGAGCCCCAGGCAGCGGAGGCCTGCAGGAAACCCCAAAACCCCGGTGCAGGGACACCGCGCACTCAGGCAGGACGGGGGAGCTGTGAGGGCCCAGGCGGTGCCAGCTGATGCCACACGAGGTCTCTTAACGCCAGCTCTCCCACCCGCCGGACACCACGCCTTCCGCGTAGCAAACAGCCCCTCAGTGTGACTTCCAGGCGTCATTCTCGGTGTTAGCCATGAGCGCACGTTTTCGGGCACTGAATACATGCTCAGTGAAGGGGGGAATGAGGCTCCGCATCAGAGACCTGCCCCAGCGACGTCATTCACCAGCTGGATTTGCTCAGGCTGGTTACCTGACCTTTCTGTCCCTTGGTTCACGGACCCCTAAGACAGAAATGTCCCCATTCAGACCACAAATGAACACTTTGATGCTATGAAATAATGTACGTTAGAGAGTGACCAGGCTGTACAGATATTCGGGTTTATTCTAGTATCACACATCAGGTATATTCTAACAAATGTCTCACCTTAAGCTACAGGTAAGTAGCTGAAGAGAGATTTGATGTGAGGTTGGGAGGAATCCAGGAGGTGGCACTTGTCACACTGGGAACATACTGTCCCGACCATACATGTCCTTGGGCACGCCCGCATGTGTGTATTGATACGATTTCCAGTATTGATCCGTCCAGTGGTACAAAACCTTCTCACCTCACCGCCCTTTCCATTCAGATCAGATATTAGCTCTTGGTGTCTTCGGAGCAGAGTTGTCATAAAAGGGATGTGACAGAGAAACATGTTACCTCTTGGCTTTTCGCATAAAGCCTGGATCTGTGTGAATATGTGCTGAGTTCAGGCGGGTCCACTGCCCGGAGATCTAAGCCACCCACCCCCCCACTGGACACCCGCCTGTCCCTCTCTGTTTCCAAACGAGGGTCTGTAACTTTCCAGAAGATTCTATTGTTCAATGAGGGGTTTTTTCTTAACCAGAGCTGATTTCTACTCTTAACCAGAGCTGATTTCTACTCTTAACCAGAGCTGATTTCTACTCTTGCGTCTAAGAGCCCTGGCCTTAGGGTGCTGGCCACAGGACAGCGCATAGGGTTTGGTACCAAGTGCAACCTGAGAGCACGTGAACTCATGGTTCAGAAAATATGACAGGCACCCCCCACCCCCACGAAGGCGACAGGCTTAGGGGCTAAAGGAATACGTAACCTTCCATTAGGAACCCCTGAGTCCATTAGTGGGCTCCACTAATAGGTCAAGAAAAGTAATAGCTAGTAAATATTTTATTAGCATTTTTTGAATGTTGCTAATGGGAAAACCTGCTATTTCCAAAGTAGCAAGAGTCACGTCCCACGTCAGGCCATTACTCAGCGCTTGCTGTCTGCTGTTTCTTATGACTTTTTGCGGAATAATTAGAGAAAGTCCAATAGAATTATGTGGGCAACTGTGAATATTTTATTTTTCTGTTGTAAACCACCATTTATTCTTACCTCGCGTTTACCTACATTATGTATTCAGCACTAATTTTCTATTTACGGCATACTAAATGTATGGCTATGTTAATATGTTAATATTTTTCCATCTAGGAAATGAACTGAATGATTTTTACATGTTTTGTTTTTAAAATATTAACTACAAAAATGCATGAAATGTGACAAGTCATTACACGGTACCTTTCATCCTGAACACTACTACAGACCTTCGCAAACAAAGAAAATACCAGCAAAAAATGAAAATGAAAAACTCCAAAGCTAGTAGAGCCACCACCCATCACCGAAATAGAGCTGCAATTGTTTTCTTAGCCTGTTTGAAGTCTTACCTCTCGGAAAAAGTCAAGTTTAAACGACTAAAAGAAATGCAAAATAATTTTCTTGGTAATTAATCTGATTTGCTGATTGCTTTTCAAGTAATGTGTTGTGTGTAGTTGTTGGAGTTTTCAAGAGTGAAATTAGTGGGAACTAGGAATAGAGTCATTTAAGGTTTGAATATAGGAATAGGGTATCATCCAGGGCTCTCCAGAGAAACAGAAGCAATTAGATAGATGATAGATAGATGATAGATAGATAGATGATAGATAGATAGATAGATAGATAGATAGATAGATAGATAGATAGATGATAGATAGATGATAGATAGATAGATAGATAGATAGATATAGATAGATGATAGATAGACAGATAGATAGACAAATAGACAGCAATTTAACATGGGGGTTGGGGATTGGCCCCTGCGATTACAGGGGTTGTAAACACCATGATCTGCCTCCTGGGGAACTGGGAAAGCTGGTGGTTTAATTCATCCTGAGGATAAAGGCCCGAGAAGCAGGAGCTCCTGTCCCAGGCAGGAGAGAGGTGTCCCAGCTCCCAAAGCCAGGCGGAGTCCCCATCTGCTTCTGGCTACACTGAGAGAGAAAGGCCTCCCCTCTCTCCCGCGGAGCTCCTTTCTAACACGGCCCAAACTCCTTCAGGACACTTTGTGACCAGTGCCATCTGCCTCTGTTCACCGTTCTGGGCCTCACAGACTTGGATGGAACCGTGGGGTCTGCGCCGTGTGGTGGAGGCTGTTCCGTCCAGGCCTCTCCTGGTGACCCAAATACAAGGCTCTGTCTCGTCTCCTTGGCATCCATGCTCCCCCAAAGCAAAGACTCTTTCTTGTACTGTCCTGCTAGCTCTTGGACCAAAACTACTTTTTATGCATAAAACACTAGCCGGTGAAGGGGCTTGGGCAAAGTGACTCTTCCAGAGCCTTCAGGTTTGATTTCAAATTGCGCTGAGCAGAAATGCTTCAGAAACGACTTCATAGCTCCTCGCTTCTCGCAGAGCTGACAATGCACAGGCTCTGAGCTGGCCGGGTGGCTCAGCGTCACTGTCGCCAGCCCTCATCTCTGCAACGGGCTGTGCAACAGTGACGCGCTCAGGAGTCACTCGGGTGGCTGTTTGTCCTGACGTGAAAGGACCCTGGACTTCTGAGCTTCCTGCTGGCTTTTCACAGCTTCCTTGTTAACCCACCGTCTCCTTCATCCCAAGGCTGCTCCTTTGGGTCCCCTCCTCTCAGCCTGGCGCTCACTCTCCGAGTCCGAAAGCCGAGATCCTAGCTGTTAGAGACAACATAGGGACCAGCAGTATTCGAGGGCCTCTGGTTTGAAATGTCATATCCAGGTCCAATGAGACTCGGTCTAGCCGGGCAGTGAGGAAGGGGGCGATGAGGGGGCACCTGGAAGGAATGCTTGCGGGAAAAGGAGTCGTGGGGGCTCGAGACGGGACAGGGGAGACGCGACAGGCTCCTCCAGGGTGCAGCAGTCCTCAGACAGCGCTTTGATAGATGTCTTAAAATAGTCCGAAACTTGAACTGGGAAAATCCCATGTCCCGATGGTGACTGTGAAAAGCTTGACACAGCTTTTTTCTCTCTTTACAATTTTTTTAAACTTTCCTTCAACTTTTGAGAGTTTCACTAAACTCTCTTCATCCGTTTTCCAACATTTAACATATCACCCTAATGCTTGGGCGATTAAACTGTCTTTAGTCTTATTCATGGGATTAAGAGAACCACAGTCCATTCAAATAATCCCAAGAAAACGGGGGTTGATTAGGGTTTGGTTTGGCCTCATTTATCAGAAAATCCAAGTAACAGCGACTCACCAAATGCAGGCCGTGGCGGGTGGTGGTTTGAGCGAGGATCCAGGATTCCTTCCCTCTGCTTCCACTCGCACCTGGGGCTCCAGCCATCACATCACTATCCCAGATGGAAGGGCAAATGCGGCAAGACCTGCGCCCGTCCGTGTGCTTCTCTGCTGAACACTTTCCCTAACACCTCCTTCATCAGAACCCGTGTCTCAGGGCCCCTCTCCCTGCGAGGCAAGGTCGTTTTATGGCTGGTCATAGTGCCATTCAAGCTCAAGCTTGAATTAATGGTTGAATGACTACTGGGTAGGCTGCTAGGAGCCACTGATTTCCTGCAACAAACCCCACGGAACTAGGCCCAAAGCCACCAGGGACCCCCCGCCTCCAGACACCTGGGACTCTACCTTTCAGGAGCCACACACGCTCCCTCACTCCCCGGCTTCCCAGTCTCTACCTTCCAGGTTTCCCTTTGATTTTTAACGCGTTGGTTTAGCTTGTAATGGCTACTCCAGCCCAGATTCCCCCAAGACCTCTCCCCCTCAAATCCTGCAGAGGACGACACCAATCTGTTTCTCAACCCCAGTCTGGGAGGGAGGACTCTGATGACCAGTTCAGGCCAAATGAGTTCCCGGTGACGACCAAGCCCACCACCCATGAGGGAACCCGGCGTCGGCAGCCACCCAGCCCAAGGGGCCCTGGTCGGGGGGCGCTGGGCAGAGTGCAGGCGTTAGTCCAGCTGGCAATGGGAGTGTGCACAACCCTACGGGACGGGGCTTGGAGGGCACCGATTGGCACCTGTGGTGTGTAAATTCAAGCTCAATACACATTGGTGATCATTTCGTAGAGAGGACTCTAAAGAGTTCGTCTTATCTCCTATTTTATCTTTATATTTACTAACGTGCTGTGACTAAACCCAGTTTTGAGACTGTAGATGGCAACATTTTTAGCTCTGCCACTCAGTCGTGTCAGATACAAAGCGTAAAGGGACAGTGAGCTGTTCTGCCATGGACCCCTCCTCTCCCTCTACTCCCAAAACACCAGGATGAGTCGTTTGCAATGAACTCGTGCTTCAGCCAGCGTCAAAGTCGGGATTCAGCTGTTTCAAAGTCAACAGGCCACTCACGTCAGGAAAGCACTTAGTTCCGGGCAGCACCAACGTGCCTTCCGACGGCAATGTGATCACCCACAGCTGGGTCCACACCTTCTGCCCAGGTACCCTCCCTGGTGGCGTCTTAAAGGCCTGCGGTCACGAGGGACAGGGCACATGGCCTCACCCTTACCCCCGTTTACCAGAATAAGAAAGTCAAAATTTTCATAGTTTATATGTTTTCTTAAAAATCCTGCCGGTGACATTTTAACCAGAGATGTCTCGAGAAACTGAACTCTTGAATTTAAAATAATTCCTATTTTTGCCCTGGCTGGCGGCCTCGTTGGTCGGAGGGTCGTCCTGTGCACCAAAACGTTGCAGGTTCAGTCCCCGGTTGGGGAGCGCATGGGAGGCAACCAATGGGTGTTTCTCTCTCTCTTTCTCTCTCTCTAAAAATCAATAGAAACACACCCTCGGGTGAACATTAAAAAATAAATAAATAAAGTAAATTCTGTTTTTTAAAAACCCACATCATTTAAAGTCATGCACTAGAATAGACAGTGGCAGGGGTCCCAGTGAGGAATCTGAAACACAGTCAGGACCCTTTAGCGCCCACTGCAAGGAACTTCTATTACTAAGGAAAACTTCTACAGGCTCTACTTTCTGTTTCCTTCAAAGTGTAAGTAAAAATAAAACCCCACCCAGGCGAAAGACACCCTAATTTTAGGAATGAAGCCACAACACTGGCAGTGCCACAGGATAATCAGGCGTCATCGTCACGGGCGGACCTGAAAATGTAGCCTTTGGGGGACAGAAGTGAAAACACACACGTCAGTAAGGGCCTGAGCGGTTGTGTTAGTTGTGCACTTGGAAATTCGTTACAATACAACACAAGTGTTTCTACAAAACCAAATTTAATATACAACACACACTCACCATGTAAACACATGTTTTAAAAAATCTGATCATTCCAAGGATCACTTACAGGCTTCCAAAAAAGCATTTCATAGCAAGAATCTCAATACAGAATGGTTTCTATGTCAAAATACATTTACACTGTAAATTGTTTATAGAAAAAAAAAAAAAAAGACACAGAGAAATGGAGTTTGCTGGCACTGAATTCGACAGCAGCGACTGCCCTGACAGTTTTCTTTCATTTCCTACCTCAGAAGTGCCTGACGAACCGCGGTCATCTACCCTTTTAAACTCCGTCTAGGCTTTCGCCGGAGGACTCGGTGGGCCAGGGAAAAACCTCAAGATCCCGACCGGCCCCCAGCGCTCCCGCGGGTCGCTCCCTCCCGTCTGACACCCAGCACTTTCCACGCCTGTCCACAAGGACAACTCGTCAGGGGTTGAACAGTAGTTATCAAATGCAAAACTGGAAGAAAGTCACATAAAAACCACGAGTGCGGATCGGTCACACGCTTTTATTCGTCTTTTGAACACACGTGTCCCTCTGCGGAAAACCCTTGCGGGAGAGACACTGGGGTAGACGGTTTCAACCCTGAGCAATAACACTGCAGACCAAGGAGGGTGGCAGACTCGGGGTCCGCTGAGCACAGCACGGGCACTGATATTCTCTATGCGATCAGGTTTTTACAAAAAAATACATAGTTTTCAATAAATAATGCTTAACTTTACAACTTTGATACAGCAATGTCATACACTGTTCCACACACTAACTGCATGCTAGACAGTCCACGAGAAGACGAAACTCGGCCATGCGTTTCCCTAGCCCTACCACACTCCGTCCCCAGCGCGCCCCGAGCCCCGGGGCCTCGGGGCACGCTGGCATGCAAACTCTAAAAGGTCCCCCCCCAACCACTCAGACTCCTAAACAAAAGGGTTTCAGCCTTTCTGCTCCCAGACCTGGAGCGGCCAACGAAAGCACGTTTCACGTGGCCTTGGGAAATAGACTTGGTGACAGTGTCCTGCTGGGAACGCCCCACCGCTTCAGCCGGCCCTGTCCTGTCCTGGTGGCCGGCGGGCACGAAGCCCTGCGGGGCGCCCCAACCACTGGGAGCCCAGAAAGCTGGCCTCCGTTTTTAAACGGCCCATTCAGAAAAAGGTGTCACGGAAAGATGCAGGACTCTCAAACCCACAACATATGTACAAGAGTGAAAGCGGACAACGCGGGAAACGTGGGAAGAGCAGAGAGCGGCTCCCCACGGAACTCGGGGGGCCGGTGCCCCGTGTTTGAACATAAGCCGGATGGGGAAGAATGTGCCAGAGGCCCCCTTGGTCAAGATGTATTTGATCAGAATTCTTTATGGGGCATATTGCTGTGTCCAGTTGGCTACTGTTTTGAAGAGGTAATTTAGTTCTAATAAAAGAAAGTGAGCGTCAAAGTCACCTCAAGGACCCGAGAGTTGGTTTTTTTAAACACCTTTTCCAACATTTTGTCCTATTGCTTCACTTTTGCCATTTTCACAGCGGAGAAAACCCAAGTCTGTGTGACCACAGAAAAGAACTTTGATCAAACGGCGGGAAGGGAGCCTCCGCGCGTCCAGGCTGCTTCAGATGTGAAAACGCATCTCAAGTCGTCATATTGCTTTTTAGGGTCTGTGTCCCATACGGAAGTGATCCGTTCCCGCTACAGGCAACCGGAGGTTCCCAAGTCATTGAAAACAGTCCTATCTGTGCACTGGCAGAGGTATTGAGTCTTTGCAGAGTATCTCTACCCGATAAAATTATTACTTTTATACATGGGACATTATGAGCTTATGTTTCCCTTTGTAAGCCATTCTATAGTTTCTGCACGTTTGTGCTTTCATTGAGTATAAAAATAGGTCTCCTTTAAAATTCTGTTTCAGTTCACTAAAAAACTACTTGTTTGTGAAATTCTTATAAACTCACTGCATCCACATGTAATAGATACAACTAATTAGGCAGCTAATTGATATAGGTAGTGTTAAAAAAAAATAACTCCAGTGGGGGTAAAATAAATGAAGATATGTTAAGATTCAAGAAAAAAAGCGAAGTACGATGGAAGAGGAGAGCTGAGTTTAATGAATTTTGTTTCATCTTTATTGTGATTGAAAACATGGGCTCCATAAAAAAGGGGCAAAAAACAAAAAAAAGCTGAGTTGTTAAAAAAAAAAAAAAAAAAGAGCAGAATTTGTCAGGTCATCAAACAAAAAGGGGATATGGTGGAACCAGTCGAATAAATGAACTGGTGAGAGAGAACCAATAATGAAAACAAGCCAAATCTCTGAGAAGCACGTCCAAGAGTCACGCCGTGGAGACGGTCACTTTGGGAACTCGGAAATTCCTGCGCTGGATACATAAGGCTCAGTCTTGGTTTCTGCACAGGCCTTGGCTATACAAAGGGTATCTGAAACTGACATTCCTAATGGAAATTTTAAAAAATTTGGCCCTTAGAATAACTGAGAAATATCCTGAAAAGATCTTCCCTGAAACGGTAATAAAGAAAGCGTCTTTTCTACTGATAACATTGACAACTCAGTAAACTATTTTTGCTGTCATCCTACGTAAGAAAAAAGCACAAATACACCTGCCTCAGAAACCTGTTAAAAGCAGGGAACCACGCAGTAAAAGAGTAGAAAGGTTCTATAAACGGGAGAGTCCAAGAAAAACCTCTCTCCAAAAGGTCCACAAAGATACATATGCCCGTTAGAAGAAAATGTAAGAATATACATATCATTAATCATAGCAAAGAATAAAAAAGTTAAGATTGATATAATATATTTATATTGAATGACTACTTTAAAATAGAGCAACTTATTTGCTTAGTTTCTCAGATGCCTTGGGCAACTCATGGAAATTCGGAAGTGAGAAACACGTGGAAATTTCTTATACCATACCACTAGCAAATGATTATGGTGTCAGCTCCCGGAGAAGAGAAAAACAAGTCTTGCCTCTTGAGTCTTACTTTCTCCAAAAAAAAAAAACCCAAAACCACAACACTAAATCATCGCAATACATGCACGCATATTTAAATCACTTCCCCTCGATTAGCATTAAAAAAGAAACATCTCTGCCCAAAAGGGCTGTGATTTTTTTTTCTAGCTAAAAGACAACCATTCTACAAATAATTTGCCCTGTGACTGTAGTCATTCATAACATACATACTATTTGCAAAGCACAGTTTAAAAACACTGCCTTTTATTAGCATTGGTTTGTTGTTGTTTTTAATAAAAGGGATGCATATCAGAGTGTAAGAACTGGAAGATTATTTCCACATTTTAGAGAATTAATAAGAGAATGCTGGTTCAGGTTCTTAAAGATGGAAATATAAGCCAAATGCCCTCATCAGAGTCTGTGAACTACTTATAAACAGCAGGGTATCCACCCCCGGAGGCTGCAGCCACTGGGAGCCCACCCCCGGCCCCAGGTTACCATTTCTGTCAATGCTTAGTTGAAAATAAGACTAACTTAAGAGACTAAAAGAAATACAATTACACTTTTATTGAAGACTATCCAGTGGCAAGAATACCTTGTGTATTATACTATGTTTTAGACATTCAAGAAAGAATTCATTAAGACTGGTTTTCACAATGCATTCATCAAAACAGCCTTAAATATGGTTAAAAGCGCATTCCAGCGCCCGTCCTGAGTTCTAACAGGTTTTTAATTTAGATCGCCAACGACCACCCATTTTTCTCTTATTTTACTATCAAGAAATTAGGCTACATAGCTTTTCTTTAAAAAAAAAAAAAAAAAAATTCCAAACTCTTTGTTTCCATTCGCAGGCCTAATTATGACATGATGCTAGTTTACATAAAGTTTCTACCTCACCACAGAAAATGTCCAAGATTCATCTAGGATTCAAACACCAAATACATGCAAAGTTTTCAGATTTTCAAAAGACACAGATTCAGTCTTATAAATGGGTTTGTTTTCAACCAGTTTTGGAGCTGCAGCAGAGGCGCGCCGCGGAAAACCACCAGCACCAAGAATCGCCAATTGTAAACCGCTGGCTCAAGAATTCGTGGCCGAATAAGCATCGGACCAATGACTTTAGCCTATTATTTGGGAGGGAAAAGTAAACAATTCCAGAAATCCGGTCCCGTGCGGAGAACCTCGCCAACGCCACCGGCCCCTTCTGCCCCCAAGGGCGCTACTCGGACCCGACGGCTCCCCCAAGGAACAAGGCAGCGATCCGTCCAATTGCAGCGAAGCGGGCACTTTGCATCCCTGG